CGACCAGAGATAATACCCAGTTGCTTAAATCAAAGTGCAACCGGATTGGAACTTGTGGCGTATTGTTTGTGAAAGTAGAACGCTTTAACCATGAAGTCACTGCTTTCTAGTTAATTTTATTTATTTACACAGTCTTGTGAAGATATAAACGGGAAGAATATAATTGAAAGATAACGAGGAATACTCCTTACTTGTTTCATTATACTAAATTTTGAAACTTATCACATGTCTGTTCTACACAAGATCGGGTTCACAAGCTTTAGGTTACACAATGATCATAATAAGACGAAGTCTTATTACCGTCCAAATTCAACAGTATACATTTTTTGATTTCATTTCAACCGGTTACAGTTATTCACCACTACCAACTATGAACATATTTAGTGCAATCCAAATCACACCGGACAAAAAGTACAAATCTAGTAGTGAACGTCGGAGCTTGAAACAGAATCTTTGATTTACTAAAAAAATTACTGAAAGTATAATGCATGACACATTCTGTAAACATTGAAAAATTTACAAATAACCTTAGGGGTTTTCAATAATTTTCCATCGTTTTATGTCAGCTGACGGGAACAAAAACTGATAACTTATGAAAAATTTTAATCTACATTTTATTCTGATTTTATCTTTCTGTATGTGCATGTACCATCCATAAACCATTAGAAACAAAAAACAATTGAATTGGAAACAACACTAAGATTTAGTTTATTAATACAATGTGATCGCCTGGTCAATCTTACAACCATTTTTTATGAATGGATATCTGTTTCCTCTTTTTCTTGCAATAATAATCATTAAATAATTCTGCTAATGACAGTTCTACTGTAGATGCTTTCTCGCTTTACCTTTCTGTTTTCAAATATCGTAAAAATAAATTGACTATATTTTTTTAATAAAAATATTTTCGACAGATACAAATTAATATTTTTTACTTCAAAAAAATAATGATGAAAACTCTAATATAGAGAGAGTAATGAGGGGAGTAATTAACAAAGAAACAATAATAGCTAATCTGAAAATAAGAGCACTAAGACTGAATAGGTTAACGCTGAAAATAATTGAGAATGAGAGTTCAATTAGGACAGTTACATAAACTGATTTATTAGCTGAATTATAAATACTGAATCTAATTCCATACAACTGATCTAGATCTTTGATTGTCCCAATTTATAAGAAAAGACAAATCATCTCGTGATAACCACTGAAAAATCAGTTTGACTAAGTTACTGTCGAAAATATTGGCCTCAATAATCATCCAATGTTTAACTGGAACACATAAACAATGAATTCGAGAAAACGAGGCTAATTTCAAAATCAAATACCGAGGTATCGATCAAATATTCACTCTTGTCGTACATTGACATATTTACCGAGACCCGATTTGATTTCTCAACTTAAAGACATCACTCGACTTTATAGACCAAGAGGTTCTGTAACAGTGTTTGTCATTAAAATGTGTACAGAAGAAGCATGTAGAATTTATGAAGCCTCTTTATTCGAACAATATTGGTGAAGTAAGAGATTATGTAGAACTGTTATTAGAGATGCCAATCTCAAGTTGTTTTCGTCAGAAACGTCCACTTTCCCCCCATTTGATTTATTTTCGTCATAGACATTACTTTTAGAGATAACACATTTTTCTAACTTTTAAAGACTTTTATTCCACCGGGAGATTTGCTTATTAACTCAAAATACTCAGATAACATATTCCTGTTTCGTATATATTTAGGATTTATTTTTGTCCCTCCATACGCAAAATTCTCCCTCAAGACTGGTCTACATTAATCAAGAAACTAATAACGAAGAGTGAAGTAGTTGGAGGTATCAACCACTTTACTGATCTTGAAAGTCTAATCAACCCAGATTTCTAGTGCCTGACAATATCTTAACACAGATTCAGAAATCCCAATTGGTTTTTGTCCAAAGCTTTATCTAAAGCTATCAACTAGCCTATCAAGGTAACTAACACATAATTAAAACAACTTTCTCTAAACATCAATTGCTTCCTTCTATTAATGTTTGACTAGCACAAGACTAGTTGACAGAATAACATATTAATTTCTCTCAATTAAAAGAAAACCATAATAATAAGAAAAAAAACAATAATTTTCACAATAAATCATCCTATAAAATAATAAATATACTGGACAATGTTAGCCATTTTCAGTACGTAACAATGAAACAATACAGCTGATCATTCTATTTGGTTATTATATAAGGGGATGAAAAACAGTAGTTAATAATAGCATAATTGTAAGAATGTTTAACTTGAAAAGTTAAATCACTTCTGTCTTATTTAAAATATTTTAGATTTTTAAAAAAGAAATAAGAATAAGAAAGACATAGTACAAGGACAGAAGCAGCCATTGATATCTGCTGAACATCAAGAAGAAAAAAAGTGCAGCGTATCAAATGATGAGGATGGTTTGTAGCCCCCTCTTGTTTTAATATTCTTCTTCGATTTATCTCTTTTTCACATAAAGACGGAGTTTATCTTAAGATAATATCCTGTTTCAGTATTTAAAACACTAAAAGCATGAATTACAAAATGGAATTCCGTACACGTGGTTCAAAAGGTTAAAAAACGAAACAGACAATGACCGATCATCTTTACCTTATTATTAGGTGGAGGAGAAAATTTGGGGCAATCGTAAGAAAACTGGTTGGATAAAACATTAGCCCCATGTTGCAACCATAAAAGATAATTGTCATCGTTTATAAAGTAGATAATTGGTTTTATAGATAAATCAGATTTAAATTTGTAGATCATTTTCATCAAGGATCGATGGCAGTTAAAGTGTTATTGGAAACTATGGGGTACTGAACAACTGTTTCGTTCTAGAATAGGACTCCTGAGCAGTGTTCATCGATGACCCTCTCACAAGAAATCGAACCCATGAACTTCGGTTTCGGTTTTATTGAAGAAATCTTGTAGAGATTAGTTTTATTTTGTAGGCCATATTCGTCACAGATTTATCCCTAGTAGGTTGTGGATGCGCGATTCTGAGGAGCCCCTTACTAGGAGAACAGGTGTTCACTACTTCTACGTTTTCAATTGTTGTCTAAATAAGATCAGTTCCTGATGTAAACTATGAGTTTCAAATAAACTGTTACACAAATAAACTATCGCTAGAAAGTTTTATACAATGTATATTATATACATATATATTTAAGTTAACTGAAATTCTGTATGGGTGGTCATTGTAAAAGAAACCAAAATTGCTTTAAAAAGTAAGTTTTTTTTATTTATCTATTTATTTATTGATTTATTTAAACACATAAACATTGGTACAAGGGGGCACCAACTACATAGGCGCCACATAAATCATTCGATTTGTGTGTGGTCTTGAATACTGCCGAGGTGCCCAAACCTAAGTAGGTAGTTTTCTTAGGGAGCCACTCTACGAAACTTTAACATAAAGGTATAATCCACAAAGCAATGGAGCAACGTGAGGAGATGCAGCCTCATGGTGGCCGGTGACCAACAATAGGTTCATACGCCAATTGTTTCTTCAGGATCCTGGAGCCCATGTGCACTATTGGTTCGGAATCAGGATTTTTCAACTCCCCTAGGTGGATCCTCTATATTCATTAAGTAAGTCTTCAACAATGATCATTTCATTTTATGAAACAAAGATAATTTTGTCAAAAGTACACGTAATTACGTTTTGATTAAGTCTTTAAAGTCAACAATCAATAAATAGTTAACCAAGAACCTGAAATAATTAATTTAGTGAGAATGAAGCTGTTTCGGGATAGCAATTAATACCCACTACGGTCTACCAATGATCCATTCTTCTTTGGAATGAACATAGCATTTGACTCAAAACGTCTAAACATCTTACTCAGTAGAGAGTGATAAATTTTATACTCTGAGTTACATAGCCATGTACAGGTTTATACAGAATTGTTACATAAGGTGATGATAACAACTACTAGGGACTGAACAGAAATGTTCAATCAACTAGTTTATAAACCAACATTGAATGACAAGTTTGTTTTATGAACTATATACAATTGAAGTAATTGCCATAAATGGACTATCTAAAACATATTATTTTATTGCGGAGCTATGATCTGTGGAAGTGAGGTAGACACTTAGCGATAACATTGACTAATGATTACTCTATATAGGAAATTGGCCACTGCTTGAAAATATGTACCTGAAGGTCGTCATATGTACCTGAGTTTCAATTCCATATGAGGTCTTAGATGCGTGCTACTAAGGTGTAAAAAACTAGGACACAATAGTTGTTCATCCCTGTTTGGCTATCATTCCGTTCTAATAAGAATATATTTAATGTTTATTTAAAATAAAAATAAACGAGATCAACAATTCATGAGAAAAGCATTGACGATTGATTTATGTTATTCATTTTCAGTGGAATAATGTGGTTAAAATATTCATCGAATATCTTCAATCGGTTTTTATGATGATCAGTGTTAGCGGGATATAGATCGCATTAAAGCATGTTCCATGCAGAATTGAGTTGGGGCACGCGAGTTGTCTATTTCTTAACCAATCAGTACTAGCGGATACTTGGAGAAGAGTTTGGAATCTATCTATGCAAAACTCATAAATATAGTAACTTCTTTTCTTATTGTGATTCCTACTTCCATCTAACATTGTTTATTTGAAATATAATTACGTTCCTGTTCAGGCGTGTTCTGATTTGGGGACTTGTCGAGTGAATTAGAGTCCAAGAATACTAAGCAATTACAGTAGCTGGGTCACAACAAGCGAATTCCTAACAATGAAGATGGGGATTGGATTTTAATGGAGTTAACATTTGAAAATAACAACAACTAACAACATAATAATTATGATAGAATATTCAATAACCCAGATCAGAAATCCTCCTATAATGGACTAAAGTTGAAACAATCAACTGACGTAGTGTTAACCAAAAAGTCAAAATATTTTGATAGAACATTGTGAAGGGAAAATTCACAATAAAATTGTGGGATAGAGAAACAAAAACAAAGGATGAACTAACTTGTTATTGGAGCTTCTAATTCAAGCATAGTTTTTTCTGATTTTAAGATGGCTGAACAATCATTAATAATTCTTAGTATTGCTTCTTCTGTCAGTCGTCCCTCAGAAATTAAATGTGGTCCAATTATATCTAATTGAGGACGACCCTTAGAATCGAACACCGTACTTGAAGGCATTAATTTGCTCGGAGGAGAAGGTACACCTATCACATACAAAAAAGTAATGAATAAGTAAAATAAAGAAACACTAATGAGAGTAAGTAAAATTGGTTATGTAAAAACTATACGATCCAAAAAACCATTCACATAACCATGAATGACATAAATACAGAAACAATAAATCTCCTGGTAACAACTATGTATTCTATTTATACATGTATATACATAGATTGTGTAAAATGAATAACCAATAATACAATTCTTTGTCATGGGTTACCATTAACTATAGGACTAAAGTAAAACACTGAACATCTATTTCATCTTAGTACGATACTTCTCAAAAAAGAGCAAACATGGCGTTATCAAAGACCAAAGTCAAAACGTTCATGTTTAGTGTTCGGCGCTTAATCATTAGACCATCTAGTTGAAATTCAGTGGTCCATGTTTCTGATTTCAATCAATTTTCGATATTGATGATTCTTACAGATAACTCTTTAACTCAAAATGTTTCTTGAACTCCATTAAACACATCATTATAAAACTTTGTAGATCACATTCAATAAAAGTCAACAAAACAATTGAACACATGATTATTATTATCAAACTAAGAAGTTTATCAAGATTGTTAAATCTGAAATGGATAAGACTTGAAAGTGCCGTGTTCCATCGTTTTCATACCCTATAAGTGTATATTGATGTGAAGTAACAATAAACGAAAACAAAATGATTGTTCAATTGTTTCTGATCTTCAACGGTCATTACTCTAGTAGACGTTGAAAACTATTATCTTTGAGATTTAATTATTTTTTATAAATCTTTTAATCAATTTCTAAATTACTTTTAATAGATCAATCATTAAACAATAATTTTTTTATATTTCCTTGAAAAAGCTTGAACCAGATCGCCAGGAGAAACGTTGGATTTACTTTAAAATCATTCGCTGAGATATTACAAATATATTATTCCTATTTAATGTCTTACATCAACTCGGCGCTCAAATACTATGAAACTATTCGCTCTAATTTAGACGAAAGTTCTTATATTAAATTAACTATGTTACGTATATATGTACACACACATACACATGGATTATAACAATTAAACCAAAATTGAGTTAACTGTTCTATACAGAACGTCTCCAATATTTTCTTCTCATAGAATAAGATAAGTTTACATAACAGTACGTCAGACCAATATATTTGTTTAATGTTCATTTACAAAAATACAACAATCTTGTCTATGTAGTCGAAGTAATTGATAAACCTTTTAACTTAATTCATTCCCTACACTCACATAAATACATAAATTGACATATAAAGCACTGAACAAAGGGGCACAATTTCTCTTTGCTAACAAAAGAAAAAAACTAATTTTCGAAATGTTAAAATCACTGACTCTTTTATTAAAAGTAAAAATTTATCTAGGTTTCTGTAACAAAAGTGTTTTTAGAAACCAAATAGCAAGAATTCATTTAAATTTATAATGAAAGGTTTTGACAATTTCTTTTATTTAGCTTAAAGAAATAAAACTATCGATCAAATGAAAAAATAGGGCAATTCACGCGCAAGTACATATAACCCAGATCTAGGCCCTACTTAGTTGACAATTTATTGTGCATTTTCTATAATATTGTATATATGTCCATAGGCGCCTAAGTTTTCTACGCTCCCATCCCACAAAAACATATAATATGAAACAACATGCCCTATTTCATTTATCGCTAAACAGCACATTCTTAAGAGCTGATGGATTTGTAAAAGGATCACTAACATTTTAGTGTAAAATTCAAAAAACAAATTTCTAAAACGGTACAACTAAAACAATTGCATTAATATGGGTTCTCTATATTTTTTTAAGGAAAGGAAACAATGGATCAATAAAGATAAACATGAATACACGCACATAGACTATCATTACATAATTTTATGTCTAATCATTTTACCCAGGGTTGATTAAAGGAAGAAACTAAAACAGAAAGGAGAAAATAATTGGATAGAAGTAAATATGTATTAGTGTTTCATGTAAGATGACGTTCGCATGCATATACATGCACTCACACAGAGAGAGAGAGACATTCGAATTTACTTTTTTCCCGGGATGAAAACGACGCATTGTAAGAAAAGTCATATGTGTACAAAACAATAGAGAACAAGGTAAAATAAAAAACAAAAATGAACAAGGTTTTATTATGTAATCTTTTAACAAGGAGTAAAATGCTTGCTCGTCTTTCCACTACTACGGCTGCTACTATTTTTCTTCAGAATTTAAATGACAGTAACTATCAAGAGAACTATTTGGATATGTTGAGTGAATACAAAACATAATAAAGTAGTGGGTAGCTCAGTGGTCAAGACACTCAACTTTCAGACACTATGCATCAGATTCGACCCCTGCTCTACCCACTTTGATTTGAGTAATTAAGTAAAGTATCACTCATTATCTATTATCATACTTAAATTAGGTCTCGAAGACGATTGCATTAATCTATACTTGATGAGTTGAAAATAAATTAATAAATAAGAATACAACTACAATAGAATGAATACGATGCGATAGATTCCAGCTAAAGATGCATTACACATTAAGAAAAAATAATTCACAGTAAGCTTTATAATGATCTACAGATCATAATGTAATTAACAGATACGATCGATTAGAAAGTTTTAAAATGAAACATGTTGTCTAGTTTGTAGTACGATACAAATCGAAAAATAGAGGCTAATTACTAAACGCTGATAGTTTACACTGAATCAAGGAAGTGACTAGAGATATAAATCAGAGAGTCAGTCAGATATACTCAATGTAGAACCTGACACACCTTCATTAAATCAAGATGCCACACTATATGCTCACAATAAGATGAAATTATCAAGAAAAATCTCAGGGTAGTAGAAGTAGTAATGTTTTCAGTAGTAGTGTTGTAGACGCTACTAACAAGATTCATTATAAGTAGTACGCAACGGAGCATCTTATGGGAGTTGCTGCAGTAAACAACCAAAGACAAGAGTCTTAGGAAACAAAGAACACGGTGAGTTCAGAATACTTGTGAGACCAGAAGAGGAGCTAAGGAAGACAGTCTACAACCAGCTTGGATCGCGGAACACATAAAAGATGGAAATGAAGGATTGAAAACTAAGTAAATGCTTCATAAACAATCTGTTTGCAGCTGGATTTAGCTTGTTCGTAAATTACAGTAGTAGCAGTAATCGAAAAGATAAGTTATAGATAACATGATTTGTTAAGCATGAATTTATGGGATGAGAAACGTTAAGATAATTTTGAAACTCATGAACAAAGAGTTAATACATTAGAACCCAGTGTGATCAATTCTGAACCATAGTACCGAATGTCTCCAACCACTGGTCACGACAGTCGAGCGAACCCAAACCCGGCTGTAAGAACACACTAACAGGGTTCAGTCTAAATGTTAATGACCTCATGGACAGATACAACATCTGAGTTCATTCGCCTTTTTTTCTTTCAACCCACTCCCATACAAGCTAATATAGCACATCGAGTTTGTCAGCGGTTGGGCGTAGATAATACATGTTCCTACGATATAAAAATAAAGTTTCAACTAACTGACAAAACAATAACACACCCATTGGATGCTTTAAACGATCTGATCACTATCTCTTGAGACAATGTGTGTAATACAGAGAGATCACGACCATGTAATAAAAATATCAAAATAATAAACTTGGATAAATGGAAGCGATAAGGGTAATTTGGGCAAAAGAAAGACAATGATTAGAAGTAAAAACAGAAATGAACACAGAAAATAATAGTAGTATATATAGTAGAGATAAATTGATAAGTAAATTCTTCTCTAATAGTTGAATTATTTTGAGATAAATTACTACTACCACTATTACTGATATCACTTACACTTGTGTGAATGATCATTTTAAGCAGAAATAAGTTAATAAATAGTCACTTTATGAGGAGAACGGAAAGAGAGGCAATGTTGAATACCTATTGATTTATTTCATATGGAACATCATAAAATATGAAAATTACTTAGCTAATGTAATCCATATATTGTAATTTTATTAAAATCTATCCTATAACTAACGGTATTGTGGTGTATGCTACTTAGACTTACAGGTATAAGTAGTATGTAGCACCAACAGAAAGTGAAATACCTAGCAAGAGAAGATTAAAATAAAGAGAATAGGAAGGAAATTGGCGAGCAATCGAAATAACAACAGAATCAGAGGAATAATGAATTATATAAAGGAAAACGCAATGATGTGCAAATGACGAATTTAATGTATGATTCTTATATTTTACGAAGGCACTCTGTAATTTTGTATTTAGCGTTAAATTAGTCATCCCCACCAAGTCTTCGTTCACTACAGCATATTTATATTCATATATGTTATTAGTTAAAAGGTATTCTATTAATGTGTTGTTAATATTTAGGATTGAATTAATCAGTTTCCGTTAGCACATATATGAAACCATTTTAAATGTATACTTCAATAGTTTGAAGGGGGTAAAAATAAAACAACTATTGATGCACAATAATATCAGTTCATTTTAATCTGCACCAATATGATTTTTTTTCTCTCCTCAAGATAATAAAGAGATCAATGAGCATGAAGCTTTAATACTTGTTGAATGATAGCTAACAGTAAAATCTAGAACATATGTTTCACCCTATTCAGAAAATTATTAGATGAATACAATCGCATGGTATGAAAAAAACTCTATAAATCGTACAGAAAGTATTAATTGCTTTAAAATTACAAATATATTTTGCTAATGAGTGACAAATAGCACGAAATCTAAATCAAAGGTTTCGTTCCGACTACCTATAACTACATTACATATATATACTAATAAATTTGCAAATCAAGTTGTTAAAAAATACTCGCGAATATAACCATTTGTACCTTTTAACTCTTTTTAACAGATAATTGATTATACAACACAATCATTATGATAGAGATTTATGGACTTGGTTTTGACATTGTTTCATTTGAAGATTAATAATATTATCCGACTATTCAAAAAACGGGAATTAGGCAATGTATGCTTT